AGTTGTAAAGGATCTGCTCGCTAGTATTTTACTCTAGTATGTTTGTCCTTTAGTTTTTGTTTCTGGAGGACGTACTTTACCTCTGAGTGGCAGTATTTCTTTCAGCGTTATCAAAATAAAAGGAGAACGAAAGTAAATTAAGAGGAAATACCAAACAATTTCTGATTGTTGACATTACTACAATATAGAAAAACCTGCTTCAACCCTGGTTTGAATTGTACAATACTCCATTGTTTTATTTAATGTTAGAAGTTAAGTTATGTGCTTTGTTAATGAAACATGTTTGTCTGGACTTGAGATGCTGACTCAGGTCTTGACCAGAGAACATTTTGTTGGATAAATAAAGTTTCTTAACTGGTGCCAACAACCAGGCTGTAGGAAAATACAATGATTATGAAGATGTAATGCTAAAGGGTAATATTAGAGGACTAACTCAGAGAATTGGAGAGATGTGAGGAGTGTATCACCGTACCTTTGCCCTCTGGGGCCAACAGAACACCCCTGCATGAACTCTGCTCTGCAACATGTGTTCAACATGTGGGCATCTGGCCTAAGAGTGTGTGTGTAGGAGAGAGAGTGAGAGGGTCATTTGTGTGTGCACGTTTGTGTCTGGGTGTTTGCAGCGCTGTCTCATACAATACAGGCTACAGAGTTGTATGATTTGGCACATTCTCTCCCCAGCACACTCTCCTGTCCGTCTTCTGACCACCGTAGTTTATGTTTATGTATGTGGAAATTAATGAGCAAGCCTATTTGTTATCCCAGTGTTTATGTTGAGTGTGTGTGTGTAAATTCATCTGTATTAGAACACGCAGTAGGAGGTTGGCCAGCTGCTGGTTCAGCTCCACCTACCCCGAGGGCTGCAAATCAGGGTAATGATTTAAATGGGGCCTCCCTCCGCTCTTTCTTCTGCACCCACTTTTTTTTTCCAACATCCACACACACGGCCCCCTGTACCCCCCTAGATCTGTGGCAGCCCGAGGGGGTTAGGAAGCACAGTTCAACCCTGTAGATCAGTGTGTCGTAGCAGGGGTCTGCAGGGGTCGCGTCTTAAGGTAATAGTTAATCACCAAGTGCTCAAAGTCAGTTAGCCGCAGTGGAGCAGAACAAAGACAGAGGTACACGGGAGGGGGGGGCAGATACATGAGAGGGGTCGGACATCTGTCTCTGTGTCAGAAACCATGATCAGTTTCAAAACGGTCCTGAAAATGATCATACTGCACATGTTTTTGTCATCATTAATCATATAATAAATCATATAAATGCTCCTGACGTATGACGGACTGCATCTCTGTTTTATTTTATTCCAGAACATTCCAACTTTGGGAACAGTTGCTATAACGATGGCGCTGCATAACTGCGACGAGGTTGCGGTGGCTGGTTTCGGCTACGATATGAACATGCCCCACGCGCCTCTGCACTATTACGAGACCGTCAAGATGTCTGCCATTAAAGAGGTGAGTTCTGAGCACCGCACTTACTTTTGATGTGTTTCGGTGAGAGCCAATGAAAATGTACAAATCTGTTCTACAAGAATGGCACATTTGTACGTTAACACGGCACTTGGCTGTAACATTCTCTCCATGCTAATGAGAACAATATTTTCTGGCTTCTCCCTGGCCACTGTAGAATAACTGAAGAAACAAATGACTGTAATCTTTGATGAGGCGGGACCACCACTCCTCTGGAGGAGAGGTGAACTGGCCTACAGCCAAAATACATTCACTACAAAGCCCTCACTGTTTAGGCTGATGGTGATATTAGTGTAAGAATTATGCATGAATTGAACTTCTCTCAGCTCTTGTATTTGCATCCAGAGATATGACCGTTTAAACGTTTTCAGCATGAACATTGTAGCACAATGTGGGGAGTCGCACTAATAGCATCTGTCTAAGGCTGATCAGATGCTCGTTCTGACAGATGAAGTCATTCACACATACACAATATAAGTGTTAAGGTGGGAGGAAAAATATCTGCGGTGTGTTGCAGTTTCGCCTGTAGTGCTTTTTCTATATATAATAATTGTTTTATAATTTAAAGCGTGCATGTTTGGCTTGGGTTTCAATTCAAAACAAACAAACTGTGGGGTAAACTAAAACTTAAAGAACAGTTACACAACGTGTAAAAGCTGTACCTGGTACATTGAACTGTTTAAGTATCACGGCCAAGTTATAGTATCAACATATCAAAAGCCTTTTTGGCAAGCTGACATTTGAATGAAACATCTATTATGGTAAACATGCAGGAACATGCCTGAGTGAGTGGTTAATCAATAAGAATTCATCTTTACGAAAAAAATTTAAAGGGGCCCGAATATCATTTTGGGGGTTTTCCTGTAGTGTGTCATATAGGTATTTGTGCAATGGTCTGCAAAAGTTAAAATCCCAAACTTCCCTCGAAGAATCTCCTCGATTGGACTCCTTTGTTTGCTTCTGTTAGATTGTGACATCACTATATATGACTCGCGTTTCTATTGGCAAGCGCTCCAACACATTGTACATCACGTACAGGTTAAGGGCGGGATATTTATAAGCAGTTGGCCAATCACCACAGAGCCAACCAGCTAACCAATCAGAGCAGACTGGGCTCTGGTTTTTGACAGAGGGTGAAAAGAGGTGCTGCAGCACAGGCAGTATGAGAAAAATAAAGAGCTTTTTGAACATTAAAGCATGGAAACATGTCACAGTAGAGAAACAAAATACAAATATTATTTAAAATATAAGAAAATGAGCATAATAAGGCCCCTTTTTAAAATGTTGACTAAATGGAAATAATATTATTTCAAATATGATTGTATAATGCAAAAAGTTTAGTTTTCTAAGGTATAAGGTACATAAATCCTGCTGTTTTCTATTTCTAGTTGTTAATGTGTTTTAATGTAGCACAGGTTTGTTCAATGCTATATGTGCACTTGTTTGGGTACTGAGGACACAAAACTGTATACTACACTAAAACTGAATTTAGTAACTCTAATAAATAAAACCTAACTATAAGAAAAAGGTCAAATCTGTATTTCCCCCACGCTGAAGCAACACTGGTCTTTCATCAGTCGCTGCATCAGCACGCTAACTGTTAGTGTGTCATTTGAATCGTACTCTAAACGGGCTCATGACGGATCTCTCTCCTCTCCATCAGTCAAGTCTTCCTCTCGGTGTTTACACTGAAACCCAGTGGAATCAAAGATGTCACCCGTGTGCTGACGTGTGTAAACCATGAGCTCAGTATGATGATAACCTTTGTCTAAACTCCCGGTGAACCTTTGGCATGTATTATCATCATCAACATGGCTATCATCAGACACACATGGTTAATTAATGGGAATACTCTTTTGTTTGGAAAACGTTTAACCACCGCCACTCCCTGGGGCTGTTTGATTCTCTGGAAGCACGTGAAACGTTCCACTCATTGTTCCACTTCTCTGGAGATTTCTGGACGGATGCTTAAATGCTCCACGGAAATTGTGTAATTATCCGAGATACACAGACATTGATGATTAAATGCTACATAAATCACCTTAGACAGCACGATGCTACTAAGGTCATCTCTTGTGGTGTATAAGGCACTCCATTGACCTCTGTTATAGTTTGTGTCTCTACTGTGACAAGCTTTAATGTTCAAAAAGCTCTTTATTTGTCTCGTACTGCCTGTGCTGCAGCACCTCTTTAGACTTCTAATATCTGTAATTAGTAATTATATGTCAGTCTTGTATAAACAGCTTGTTTCTGACTTTCAGACCTACCTCAAATGAAATAGCATTTCTTTCTGCTGCAGCATAAGGATCTGCTCTGTAGAAACTTTAAGTACCAAATTGGAGAGATTAACATTTTAGATTTTCACAGTGCCTCCTGTGTGTGGTCACTAGTCAAAATAATTTCTTTCCTGTATCTTATGTCGATCATGTCCAATAAAACTGTAGCTTATTGTTCCTTGTGGTCCTGCTGCGACCCATCAGGCAGTGGTAGGAGGTCCGACCCAGACAGGCTCAGTAGGAGAGGACAGAGCCGAGGCAGCTGCAGGGCCCAACCTCTCGAAGCTCTCCACTTTCTTTCCCTCTTCCTATTCCCTCCTGTAGGTTTCTTCCTCCACCTTTGTGTCCTTCATTTGCTCTCTGGCTGTTCTCTGCATCCCAACGCACCACACAGGAACCACCGGCTCTGATTACATGTCGGCCCACCGGACTGGATCCTCATAGCACAGCAGGGAGGGAAGCTGACCCAGTGTGGCCTTTCATATATATGCACATATGAACACCCACACGTATAGACACTGGGAATAGGAACAATCCAATTCTAACCTACAGATTTGAGTTCATATAGCTGTAACGTTGTATTCTGACATGGATCACAAGTTATTTTCTCTATCACTCTTGATTAGTTTTTTCTTTCTGTTTGTCCTGCAGTCATGGACACACAACATATCCAAGGAGAAGGAGTTCCTGCGCAAGCTGGTGAAGGCCAACATCATCACAGACATGACCAACGGTATCTGAGTTTACAGTCTCACCTCGCCTTCCCCAAAGGACTATGAAACAGGAAACTGAGCAATGGATCGACTCTTGAAAAAAGAACCCTTTAGAATCCGGGTGGCCTGTCTTTTTCATATCAAAGGAGATTATTTAACAGGAAAAAACAAATACAAATACAGATACAGGAGGTTTTCTGTGGAGAGATGTGCCTTCTGAACCAAAGACTCCTGCTGATTGAAGCAGGGAGCGGGGGGGGTGGACACGGAGGACTGTTCCTGCCTGTCTTATCGAAGGACAGCGGCAGCAAGGCTCTGTGGCCCCGCGTTCTAAACGTTTACCACTTCATCCCCTGGAGTATCACATGAGTGAATAATAAAGAGAAGTTTGACATGTTGAAGGGACAGAAGAGAAAGGAAAGAGGAGAGCGTTGGGGGGGGGGGGGGTCGTTATTAGCAGTGCCAAACGTAACTCGTTCCGGGGGAGGGCCGTTCCTCCTCCTTTTGCTGCCTGAATGTATTCACTTTCCTCAGGGGTCGATTATTAGCAGTGCCAAACGTAACTCGTTCGGGGGAGAGGCCGTCCTCCTCCTTTTGCTGCCTGAATGTATTCACTTTCCTCAGTGGTAATATATCAAATTTTTACGTGTGCTCTTTTAACAGCTGGAGCAGCCATCCCCCCCCCCCAATTGCGCATTTTTGTCCATTCATTCACTTTTTTACTGCCTGTCTAGGGTCCAAAATGAACACTTGCTCAACCAGTTGACAGTAGATAAATCAGCGGGGGTCACCTGCCCCACAGACTGCTGTCACTTTGAGTCGCTAACAGTGGAGTGGGTTACATTTGTTCTCAGTTTTCTCTGTAAAGTCTTTGTAAGGGAATAATATCAGAGGCTGTGTAAATGAGCTCTTTCTGCGACACAGAGCGGTTGTGTGAGTTATCCCCATGTGGCTCTCACATTAGGTCCCCAGAAATATGAAGCTGTATGAGATTCTCTACACAGGGGAAATGTATATGAACTCAATTATTTTAATTTTGGGATATTTAATTTAGTCTCTTTGTAAATCCCTCTTCCTCTCGCCCCGGCCATGTCACAGTACTGCCTTCATCTCTTAATCAGCTGCAGAGCCTCCGGGCCGCAGCGCAGCCGCACAGCAGCGTGTCCCGCCGCGGTCAGGGAGAACACGTCCTGTATCCCTCCTCCAACCTCCCGTTGCTGCACATTTTCTTGTTCTTGGGTTAATGGTGAAATCTCGGATTGTAGAATGTAAATATATTTTTTTGTTTTTCGGTCAATATTAATTATTTATTTTGTATTGTTTGCGAAGTCTCAACTTCTTTCGGTCACAGGCAGGGCTGCTTTCTGTTGTTGTTGTTGGAAGAAAAACAACATTTCAAATGTCCTTTTACCGTGTTTCCACAGAGACGGCATCATCTTTTAAGTTTGTGGCAGAAGCAGTGTTGTGCTCTAGCCAAATAGTTTAGTAATAAATGTTAGACAGCTAACCTTTATTACCGTGTTCTAGTTAACTGTGGAAACATAGAAGCACATTTCTTTAAATCGAGGGGATCTGGGTTGATCATCTCACGATAGACGTGCTGAAGGTCTTTGCACTTTTGCAGATACCACACTCATTTTAGTATTTCAACTCAGCATGCACATAGAACATGTTCAGTATTACACAATCAACCCCTTCTCCCCTCCTCATGCAAAATATGTGAGAATATCAAAAAGTTATATCTGTTTTTTTGTCATTGTATCAAATCAATGTATTAATCATCTTTATATAGTGATGGTGCATTTCAATACTGCTTTATCAAAGCAGGGATTTGTTTTAAAGTTTTTGGCGAATTACATTTCAATGAGGTTTTCTGTTTCTACTTCTTGCATATTGACATTGACAGTACACACAGATTCTCTTCCATTCCTGTCAATCTGCTGCAGTCTGTTTCATTGTTCCATGCGTTCCTGTTCCCTTACACTCTCTCTCCGCTGTGCTGTGCAGCAGCGTGTGTGTGTGTGTGTGTGTGTGTGTCCGGTCCCTGTTGAGAGCGAAGGCACGGGGAACAGCTGACCATTGCACTATCACGAGGCGCTCTCAGTGCCTTACACCTCATCTCCTGGAAACTGTAGCGAGGAGAGCCGCCGCAGCTGATCCAGTGTCTGAGATCAGCTCCGGGTCAGGACTGGTCAGTCTTCATTTCTGTGATTTGGGACCAGTCCATTTCATATCTGTGCTGTATGTACATTATATACAGTGTGGGAAGACCTGAAGCTCCGTACTTGTTGTTTAGTGTGTTTTAGCCCAACTAAATATTCCAGTTTCTGATTACGGCAGCTTTCATGATGCGAGAAATTACTAAACCAGCTTCCTCTGTGTTTCCTTATTCCTGATTTTAGGCAGCATACATTATAGGGGCACTACACCTATGTACCAGCCTGTAGGAATCTGTATAATGTAATATGTAATCTGTAATATCTTTGTAAGGTCTGAGGAAATGGAGCATCTTTTTTTTGTTTGGAGCTTAACTCATATTGGGGATTTAAAGTCTGGATATTTTGCTCTCTGCTGCTACGATTTTGATTCAATTCCTTTTTTAAATCGGTCTGTTGTGAGAGTGCAATGCCAGATCACGGGAGAACCTCTTGAATTCTTGAACGTGAATACATAGAGTTTGAAACTGGTCTCTGCTGACTGCCCCAGGACCGTATCACTATAATGTGACTTGACAAAGAAAAAAGGAGACTGTCATAGAATATGTCCAGCAAACAGGTCAGATTTATAGTGTACTGAAATGATTTGAAACAAGTGGCTCCTTTGAAGGCAGAGAAATCCATCTGAAATATCATCGTGTCTTCTGGAAAAGGTCATTAATAAAGCATATGAAGTCAGTGGGCTAAAACACACCAAACCACCAGTACGGTCTTTAAAGCTCTGAGAGTAAGCAGACCCTCAGTTGGAGTTTCTTCTTCTGTTTTTTTTTCTTCTTCTAGGTTATGAATTTGTACGCATGCTGGAGGAGTTCAAATGAGTTGGACCCAAATCGCCTCATCTTCATAACCTGTTCATGTTAAAGCAGAATGTATTCGCTTTGATCTTCGATCATATTTCAAAAGATTTTCTTTTTTCCATTCCTCCATGATCAGAAGAAAGTCAAAGTGTTATGGTTTTTTTATATACAGTTATGGCTTTCTGCAACTCAATAAATACGTTTGTAATGGATATTTGCCTTTGCATGTTTGTATCTTTTGACCTGTGTTTTTTGTATGTGTCGTGTATGTACATATTTCTGTACACTGTGAATTTTCAGTATATTTAGTAAATATTTTTGATGTCTCTGTTTTATCTCCAAAGACATTTCCTTCTTTATTTAGTCTCCTCAGAAGTCTTCTCAAAACACATCGTAGCCTTAGGTGCCATGTATAGTTGAGTTATGCGGCATACATCAGGTGTTATTCTGTCTGTATCACTTAGTGTCTTTCAGAGGTTACAAACGGCAGGAAGTGCACAGTAAAGATGGAGCAGCGTGACGGAGGGGATTTCCTCTCCTGCTCTGTATCTCCTACCTGCAGAGCCAGAGGAAATCATTTTTCAGTCCTCTATCAACCGGACTTCCTCCCTAATGTACTCTCCTTTTTTCTCTAGTGTTTATATCTGTCCCTCCTGGACTCTCACTCCACTCCTCTTTCTTTCCATTCTGCTGTCTGTTCCCATCCCGGTGCCGTGTATTTTTTTCCCTTCTCCTACTGCACTCTTTGAGGCAGATCTGGTTTCATTGCTGCAGCCACAAGGGGCCTATTCGGGACACACACACACACACACACACACAGTTTAACACACAGGCCATGAATCTCTCACTCACTTTCACACACCACAACTTCACCATAAACCAGAGGAGCTTTACAGAAAATGAGTGAGAGCTGGCCGTCCAGCTGTGGCTGCTGTAAGTCAGTTTTTGATGTGAGGGAGAAGACGCTGAGGGCCCTTAAAGTGCCGCTGGACCGTCCCATCCTGCTGTTAATGGGGTGCCAGAAAACTCTCAGTCATGCCTCGCCGCTCACCCAAAGCACCCGGCTACTCTTGACTCGACAGAGTTCATCCACAGGGCTGGATCGAATGCTCGATGAAGGAGGATATGTGCCACCTGGGATCTCCCCGAGGCAGCTGTCCCGGCTGGAGGCGGTCGTTCCCGTTTGTCCGGCATCCAGGGGTATGAGCACGCCTGCACCTCTTCAGCCGACGGGCCTTTTATTCCCTGTGACAGGTTCCCCGCCCAACCTCATCTCAGTAGGATTGGAACGGAGGGGCCACGACCTCCGGGGCCTGAAACTTGAACTCCTCGTAAAAAAGAGTTGGAATGAGGAGAGAAAACACCCTTTTCAGGCACCCGTTTCTTCCCCTCTGTTTACTTAATGTCGGGTCAGCTGAGATGTGGGAAAACAACATTCCCTTCTTTACACAATGTCCCACATTCATCTACCTTTGTCTGCGGACGGGACACACCTCAGGCCTGTCCTGCACCTGTATCACTCAAGGGCTTGTTCGCCTGTCAGCGGCTCAACTTGCACTTCTAGACGATATATTTAGATGTATAGATTCAGAATTACACAGAAGATTTAAAAGATAAGAGGACTGTTAAAAGATGTCAGTGTTCCTGATCGTGAGTCTGCCTAATTGGAACACAAACAAGGGCTCAGAGGCAACACATAGGTCAGAAACATCTGTAAATTAGGAAACACTTCTCAGTCAGCTATGTGGCCTTTAGGATGAAATATGAGGAGGAGAAAGTACAACTACATTTTTTGTAAAACTTTGACAGTAGTAGGCCTACAGTGAGTACTTTTTGCCACACCTTGCTCAAAATACGGCAATTAAATAAATAAATGTCGTTGAAGTTGTAATCTGCCATTCAGAAGCTTCCGCAGACATGAGTCACATGCTTTATATATACGTCATTGTTTATACATTAAATCTGACAGTTTTTGCTTTTATTGATGCACTAATGATGCCACCTGAACCAATCTTGATTTTCTTTGTGCAATATTTCAACATTTACAGGATTTCCTGTACTTTCATTCAGGTTCTTTAACGCACAAATTGAAACTGTGAAGCTCTAGAAACGTGTCTTTTGTTGGCATGTCGGCAGGCAGAAGAACATCTTTACAAACTCACTATTGTTTCTTTGAATATACCCAAACGTTTATTTTATTTTATTCAAATTATAATTATTGCTGTCCATGTTTGAAATAGGACTGAAGCCAGAGAGACATCTGAAGTGTTACCAGTACACACTGTTGTACTCGCTGTTGTGTACTCTGCTCATTCTCCATCCATCCGCATAATAACGCCTCTAATCAGGCCATGTGCCGACACTTTGCTTTATGGTTTGTTTGTATGAACAGGGATACAACAAATCTGCAGGACGCCTGCAAGAACGCGCCTTTGAAATGATTGGATGAAAATATAAATCACAGCAGATTTATCCGTGCTGTATTCACTCGTTTGAGCTAATGTGGAAACACGTTGTGGAGTACACATTTGTGCAGCTCCAGTCTGACTTTGACCCACATATTTGGCTTTTGTTTTACTGATATTGGCCTGAAGCTTTTGGACAGTGTGCTGGATAAGGGGAGTTCCTCTTGAAAAGTGAAAACAAACTTTGAGATCTGGATCAGGCCCAAGAAAAGGAAGGCACCTTAAGATGGAGAGGCACAGAAGAGACTGAGACCAGTGACCCAAAAGAAACACGAGGAACCTCAGAGAGAATTTGAAATACAGTTAACTGTCCATCACATCTTTCCTTAGCTTCACCAGCCAAAATCCAAATCACTCACCCTGTCCCCCATCAGGCCCTCAACTTGTAGGGACTAAACAGCTCCAAACCAGCACCCTGTATCCATGGAAACAGCTGTGTATATCCCTAACAGTCAACTTTCACCGACAATAAATCAAAATAGCATCTTCAATTCAATCCAGTTTATATGCTACAAGGAATTGAAAAATGCCACAGCTGCCATCATGTTCCTGCAGCTCCCAGCAGACCAAACCTGTGAATGTGCGTATGTGTTTGTGTGTGTGCGCATGCTGGAGATGCGTGTGTGTTGTGCTTGCATGGGGTGTACAAACAGTGTCATGCTGCAAATCCCTATCACAATGCCGTACAAGTTCATCGGCATTGCTCACCGTGATGGATGATGTAGACACACTTCTGAAGTTGTGGCCCTGGTTGCAGTGCCGTGCCGTCTGCTGGAACACAGTTTACACAGTGACTCATTTTATTGAGGACATTTTGCACTCTGGAGGTTATTATCTGATCTTTTCAAGAGGAGGACTAGTATTTTTTGGCAGCCAACTCGGCTTGATGTGTGTGGTATTGTGTGTTTAAGGAGTAAAAGGGGCTTGTTCTGGGTTATATTAGGTGTACAAAGCCATCTTCTACTATATACCAACAAGTCCCAAGTCTAGCAGGTCTTTCGTTCCTCCTGTTGCTCTTGGGCTTATTCTTATTATGTGACGGTACATTCCTGCATGTCATGCACCTCAGCTGTGTGCATTGTTGCCTTGTTGGTTGCTACTATTTATAGCATTGTTGCAGAGCTCAGGGATCCTCCCTGCATTTGTCTCTGCCTCGGTGCGGAGAGTGGGCCTGCAGAGGAGAGCGAGGAGCTGTTTACCCAGCCTTTGTGCTCCGCGGGCCTCAGTGTTTGCCCTGCAGGGAGTGCCTCAGCCGGAGGGCCTTTCCGGGCTTTGCATGGGTGGGTGGGTGGGTACAGAGGGGTGGCAGGACGAACCAACCTGCAGGATGGAGGGGTGGAGAGGGGCCGGGAGCTCAGCTGGTGGGAGGTGTGTGGCTGCGGGTGCAGTGAGCAGAGGGTCCGGGGTCCGTCTTTACTTCACTCATCCTTCAGGCCTGACAGCAGGTGCCTGGTAAAAAGGTCAGGGCAGGACTCACTGAGCAAATACATGGAGCACAGTGGAAAACATGCATTAGTGTGTGTGTGTGTGTGTGTGTGTGTGTGTGTGTGTGTGTGTGTGTGTGTGTGTGTGTGTGTGTGTATTCCTACAGGTGCATGCAATCAATCACACAAGTTCACATGGGAGGATCTCTATAAAGGTTCTACTGGGAAGGGTCTCAAGGGGTCAATGGGCCCTCAGGCCAGAGCCTCTGTTTGAAGCGACTGACTTTCAAACGAGAAATATTAACCATCAATTAAACAGGCACAGAGAAGACCAGAAGAACAGAGTCACAAAGAGACACCGGCAGCTACAAAGACACACAAAACAACCGCAAAGAGATACAAATTGACCACAAAGAGACTTGGTTGCATCTTTTGTAGTCGATCCGTGTCTCTTTCAGTCAGTCCTGTGTAGGAAGGGTGGGGGCCTTTTACATGTCTGTGCCCAGGGGCCCATTGTATCATTATCCGCCCATTCATGTCTACCCATGCTCCATGCACATGTCTGTAGTGTGCCTAAAAGTGGAATATAGTGCAACTCTCTAAATGTATGAATCAGAAAGTGTAAGTCTGAAGGACATATGTCACTTTCTTCCACTGGAAGTGTTTTCCAGAAACGCTCCATGACCATGACCATGTGTCCTGTGTGACAATCAATCCCCTCCCTCCTCGCAGCGCAGGAACAAAAAGACATCTGAGCTATGTGTTTGGATGGGGAAGAGAAATCGCAGCACTTTTACAGCGGCCACCGCACTCCGGTTTCACAGAGCCTCTGACAGGCGGAGCGGCGCGCTGCTTTTACGCATAGCCTCCAGCCCTGCGAGGCATTGTGGACATTGTTCAGTCGCTGGGTAGTAGACTCCTGAGAAAATACCGGAGCGGCACAGTCTCTAATAACTGGATACCTGAGGCCGAAGGAAGAGATCTTTGGAATGGAGACTCGGACTGTGGCTGCGTAAAGGCGTGACGCGTTAATTTTTTACGTTTAAGTTAATATCCTGACGAGTTTTTCTTCTAGATTGAACTCCACATTTAAATCCGCGTTTCCACAGGCTGGCGCTTAAAAGAAGAAGAAAACAAGACTTTGGTTTTTGAGTGTTTCAGAGTCTTTCCTCGGACCTTTTTTAAACTCTGACGACCTTGACTTATCTTTAAAGTGACGCAGGACACGTTGTGAGAGATTTACAGAGTTGTTATTTACTCATTAACCTGACGAGCTGTTTGGAAGCAAGACTGAACAAGTTACTGTAGGTAAGGAAAGGAAAGGGGAGTCATGCCTGAAAAACTGGCTTCAATGCATTAAACGATGGTTGGATGTGAGTCAGCAGAGACAGCACGAGCTGCTAGGACAAACATTGTTTTGCTTTTGTGAATGTTTGACTTTTACTTCTCTCCCGGTCACAGTGTTGGAGTATTTATGTCACCGCATACAAACTTCTAATTAGGTTTTATAAAGGCGTCTCTCTGCATTGCTCCACTCAGTTGTAAAGTTTATTTTTACCTGGTCTGGATAGCCTTCCGTCTGCAAGAAGTCTTAACAAAACATTCGGTCTTATAGTAAATCTTAAAAAATATATTTCTTTAGAAAATGTAAATAGATAACTTCACATATTTCCAGTTGGACAACCTTTAGAACTTTTTTGAAACAAGATCTGCAGTGACAGATGAACAAATGATTGACTGCTTTGCTCTTTACTTGCTTCAGGAAATGTGTTGAATTAGTTTTATTTAAAATTAACAGTCAGGTTGATATCTCACTGGAACCATAAATCACACTTTTTAAATGTAGCTTTAATGTTTCTTTAACTTTATATTTCATTGTATAACATCAATTTAGATCGAGCTGCCAAGGCACAC